GCTTTCTCTCCAAGTGCTTGTGTAGTGAGGCACATTTTCATCTCTACTGTCTTAGGGTATCTGGGTAGGAAGGAGAATTAAATTGACCTAAAACACAATAAAAAGAGAAAAACACACATTTTTTACATAAGTGTAAGAGCCCCCAATGGAAAATAAAGACCTAGAAAAGCAGTAAAACCAAAATGCTTATTTAGAAGTGGCAGTTGTGGGAAAGTAGAATAAAATGTAGGGAGAAAGGTAGCATTTAGAGTTACTTTAACAAGATCTGTTGGTACACAATGTTTTCTATGGCCAAGACACCCATCTCTGATAATATGACAGTTTCTTCTCTCGTGCTATAGGGAGAGATCGTCTGTCACATGGGAATTTTCTTTTCTCCCTAGCTCCAGTGGTAAAGTTTCTTTTCTCATGGTGTCTGGAAGGCAGCATCCCTCTTGTATTTGTTGTTTTTCAAGGGTTTTGGTTTAAAATAATTCTTATGCCAAATGCTACATATTCTGGTAGCATATTCTGCCACCCTCCATTCATTTGCTAAATGGTTTCCTTTCAGAATATGGGGTATAGTCACCCTATTTTCTAGAAAGCCTTGCAGGTAGCCAGGTGTGGTGGCACATACCTGTAATCCTAGCACTCAGGAAGTTGAGGCAGGATAATGTGCATGAGTTTGATGCCAGCCTGGGCTACATACCAAGACCCTGTCTCAAAAAAGAACCCTGCAGGTACTTCTGATGGACAGTTTTCTTTGGAAACCACTTGCCTACCTAGATCATGGTATAATAATGCAATAACAGGCCTTTGCAAATTGCTATTCATTGATCCCAAAAGGTTATTTTAATGAATTTTCATAAATTACATAAATTTTCTCACCATATTATAGCAGTGTTACTGTAGAGAATGGCAAAGTTTCTTTAGTGATATTCTTAAATTATTACTTGGTTGGTGTTATGTGTATACATATGTGTGTATGTATATACATACACATGTATGTAGTTATGGAACTGTTCCTAATGTTGATAAGGTGATTATAATGAATCCTTTTGTCTTTGATTCTTATTGTTTATAGTGAGGCATTTCAGTCATTTTTTTCCTCCAAAACTGTCCATGAACAGTTAAATGATTGTTTTATTTTATACATAGTGAATAGTCAATACATGTTGATAATGGGAATGAACAATGGCCTCATTTATTCAGGTTTGTAACAGAGGGTCTATACAGAAATTTATAAATGAAGATACAGCTTTTAAAAAGTTAAGATAATCTTTACTCTTTGAAAATACAAACTTCTTACATAATATAAACTTTTTCAAGTCTCTTTTCTCTTACCTATTAAGTCACCACCTCTATATACCCTCTGATCTACTCCCACCCCATGGAAAATTTTAATATTAATTGGAACTAAGATGATTGTATTACTGTTGCCAAGACTTCAGCAAGTCTCTTACAAGCTAATGTCACTGCATGGGGTCCATTTGCTCTGTGTAGCTATTCTGCAGCACAATGAGAATGCCTTGATTAATATGCTACATGAAAATAAAATGGATTTGGAAATATTATAACATACTCTCATAAATATTAATTCACATTTGTATGGAATTGCACATAATTTTCAATATACTTTGGAGGCACCTTCAGTATGAAAGATTTGATCTCTAAAGACAATGGCATAATTTTTTGAAAAGTACACTTACTAAATACCAGTTGTTTATTAATCGGATACTCTGCGTCTGTGTGGTGTGGAACAGTAGGTGGTATGGAACAGTAGGACAAAGCAAGAGTTTTCTTTTACCCTATATATAGCTTTTGTATTACCTTTAGAAAGTAGTACAATTATTTCATACTATATAGAAGCAGCTCAGATGAAACTCACCTGATTTCTTCTACTACTGTTGCCATTATTCCTGAGTGTCTTTTCATGCAGCTGACTGTTTTATTTAAATGTAACACTAAACACTGAACATTTTTGAATTGAACAGATATGTGACAGCCAACCAAGGTGGTAGACAGTGGACAAAGGAATTCAATTTAGCATACATTTATTCAGCCTTTACCACATGTTAGCCATACTGTGCAAAAGTCTGGGCTGGGAATCAGTGGCCTTTGCATTTGCTTTGATCTCAGGTTGTCGCCTCATTGCCTCAGAATGACCCTCATAACAGAGGGAAAATCATCTGCGGTGGTAGCAACTAGAAGTTAGACCCAGAGCCACTCACTGGCCTTATAGAACTTTATCTTTGATATTATTAAGTCTGTTATCTGGAATATTTTCTTGGTCCAAGGATGGGTCTTTCCTCCTTTTGGGATTTCTTGCTGTTTACTGTGATCCTTCTTGTATGCTTGGCAGTGCCTGCCAAGTACATTGGTTTCCTGCCATTATCAGTGTTTCTAGCTTGCTTTGCTGTTTATTGGTGGTAATTTAAAATATTTTAAAAATCACTACTGTGCTTTATCATTACTGCACTTTATTGGCTTTGGTGTTTTAGCTTGTTTTCACTTTTATTTTTGTATTTAGCAAGCATATATTGATTACCTATTTGCTTGACTTATATGAAACAGTTATTATATGAAAAACTGAGGTTATTGACATTAGCTGCCTAATCTTTTCCCTCTTTCACTTTTTTTGAGGGATTACACTGCCAGCTGCACAAGGCTGCTGCACAAGGCCTATGCACAAGCTGTTTTCTCTGCTCAACCTTTCAGACCTAGATCAAATAAGAGGCATTTCCTCAGCCCTAACACTCTGCTCTGGTGTACATTATTTTGCTCAGTTTTAGCACCCTTTATTTTTCCTTTAGAGCTGGTTAGTCAATTTGCACATACTATATATTTGAATGATTTGGTTAGCATTTGTCCCTTAAATCCTAGGACCTCTAAGGGTAGGAAATTTTCTTCATACAGTTGTCTTCCCAGCATCTGTACTGGTCAGTATTAAGTGTATTCTTGGCATGATATTGAGTACAATATTTGTTGAGTAAAGACCTGAGAACAGAGTGCTTTGCAATAAAAGAAGGGTCTCCCTGAGTTGGCAGCAGTTCTAAGAGTCCTTGTAGTAGGAAAGGAAGAATATGCAAGGTGAGGCTAGAGTGTAAAGCCTGTATGAGCCCATTCAGGTTATTATAATAAAATAATGTAAATCGGGTCACTTATAAAAAAGGAAACATTTGTTTCTCCCAGGACTGGAGGCTAGCAAGTTTAAGATTAAAGGGCCGGCAGAGTCAGCATCCAGTAAGGGATGCTTCCTCAGAGATTATCTCTTAGCTGTTGTTCTCATTGTGGAAGGCACAAGCAAACTGCTTAGGTTTCTTTTATAAGAGGACTGATCTCACTCTTGAGGAGTTCCCTTTATAATGAAACCATGCCCAAAGTTCCCTCCTTGTGATTGTATCTCCTTTGGGGGTGTTATGGTTTATGTCTGTGTGTCCCCCCAAAGCCTCATGCAGAAATGGGGCAGGCTATTAGAGTTTGAATATGGGTGTGAGAGCTGCACCCACCCGGGAGTGGATAGTTTACATATGTACGGGAAAGGAAAAGGGTGCTTGAGGACATTCCTCCCCCATCCCGCCCTGGTGTGTGCTTGCGGCTTAGCTGTGTTCTGCCCTCCTGAGCTGCAGCTCTTTGCCGTGTGCCACTCTGCCTTATAATCTGCCAAGTATGGACTGAAACTTCCACGAACTGTAAGCAAAATAAACCTTTCCTTCCTTAATTTTGGGCGTCAGGTATTTTGTCCCAGCAGTGAGAAAAAAGTAACCAAGACGGGGTGTGTGTACAAATTTCAATATGTAAATGTGGAGACATCACAATACTCAGGCATTTGCAAGAACCTAGGTCTCAAGCTAACAGGCATGACTAATTTGAGGAAAGATGTTGAGAAGCATTGTATATGTCAAGTGGTGAGTGCTGGGGTATAGTAAAGCAGCTGAGTACATAATTACCTTGAAAATACTGGATATGAAAGGAAAGAAAAAGTAGTACTTGCAGAAAGATAATGGGGAATTTTGATTTATTTCATTTTTAAATGTACCATTATGATGGCAGAATCTGAGAGTGAAGCTAGATGAAGGAGCATTTTCTGTTTGAAAAGGATCATATCCCTTCATTTATAAATGATTGAAGGTCAAATCATTTTCATTTTAGCAGTTAGTGTGCAGAGGATTTCTCAGGGTTCAAATGACAGATCATTTATTTGATGTTCTGTGAATCCATTTTGTACAAGGGATCAGGATTGCATTGACTTACTCCAAGACTCCTAATGAAGAATGTCAGGGTCTGGACTGAACTCAGGCCCTTTGATACCTCAGAAGACACAGAACTCTACCAGGTCTTGTGGACTGAAATTCTGGCCTAGAATATCTACAAGTGTGGCTCCCATTGTAGGACATTGATTACTCATCTCCTATCCACCCCCCATTTCCACCCACATACAAGAATAAACAAAAGTTCTTGCTGTTGGTCTTGGTGATAGTACTGTCATTACATTTTACAAAGAAGGTGGAAATTAAGGATACTCAGAGTAATGCGGTAAAAGTATAATGCATTAAGGAAACATTTTAATCATGAATTGACAGTTTCTTTCTTGCTGGCTCACATCCACCTGGCTCTGCTACATTCAATCGTGTGCATTTTCTTTAGAATCTAGCGTGCACTTAGGACTTTTTGGGGGGAACATACAGTAATTGATGTAATAATTTGGAAAGTAAGTGTATTGAGCTTCCTGTGGGAATTTCATGTGATGAATCTGGCACTGAATCAAGTCACTATCCCAGGGACCAGTGAAATCACTTTCCATGGACAGTTACTTTGTGCTTTTTGATTTTTGTGCCTAACAAGAATATATAGGATATATTTGTGGTGCCCTTAATGATTCAGATAAGTTAAGCACCATAGTTCATAGTTTTAGGTATTATATCCCTTTTTCCTCTCTCTCCCCACTTTTTACTAATACTACTTAACCGTGTGACCCTAGATGCCTGTGTAACCACCATTTCCGTCCTTCTCTTCTACAGAAAGATGTAGCACTTAAGCCTCAGGAACGTGTGGAGAAAGGGCAGACTCCCCTGAGTAAGAAGAAACGAGAAGCACTTACCAATGGCTTGTCTTTTCATTCAAAGAAGAGCAGGCTCAGTCATCCACACCACTACAGTTCAGATCGAGAAAATGACCGCAATCTCTGCCAGCACCTTGGGAAGAGAAAGAAAATGCCGAAGGGACTCAGACAGGTGAGGAAGTTTGAGTTTGTTCATTGCTATGGCCTTCTCAGGTGCCTGTTGCTTGGTGGTTCTTCTGAACAGGTGGAGAAGATATCCTTGGTGTGATGCAGAAGTGACTGCTCCCCAGAGCTGTGTACTTATTTCTAAATGAATATAACCCTAGTCTCTGTGCTTTTTATTAGGATTTAAAACTTTATCAAATACCCTTTCAGGCAGATGTTCTGTGTACAGCAAAGCTCCATGGTGGGTGAATGGTGCTTAAGGTAGACTGACGTCTTCATAATCATCAAGATGGCTTGTGGAGAGAGGGCTTCGTAATTAGGACAAACAGAATAGAGAAATTTGGCAACGTACACTGTGTAGCTCATGGTTCTGAGGTGCTAGAAATGATGGTGTGTGCCAGCCATTCCTTGAAAAAGACTCATGTTTTCCATAATACTCAAGTATTGTGGCATGTGGGAGAGCATGGGCAAAGGAATGAGTTTGACTTTTGGTGCCTTAGTTGTTCTCCCTAAGCCGTAACTCAGGATTATCTTTGCAAGATCTGCTGATGAAAGAAAAGTCTTGGAGAGGGGTGCTCTGGCTTGTTAATAATTAAGTTTCAGTGATACACAAGCAAGTACAGCTCTTGGCATCTGGGGAGCCTTTATGCCTGTGGAAATTCCCAAATGAGATGGAATAAGAATATAGAACAAAGCTGTTTATAGCAAATTTTCTACACTAATAGGGAGGCTTTAGTGCTTGTGGAGTTTACCTGTATCCTGGGTGTGCTTTGTTGTTGTTGAGACTATTGGGTGGGATTGCCTATCATTTGAAGGAACCAGAGGAAGGAAGTTGTGTTCACAGAACAGGTGTTGCTAATTAGAAGTGGAGAGAGTAATTTCTAGATTGAATATGTTTCTTTGCAGAGGGAAAGATCTGAGATCATACAATACAGTGTTTCCAAAACCTCATAACCATTAAAATTATAGCATGAACCTTACTAAACATAAATTCCTGGCTTCTTCCTAGGATCTAATGAAGGTTGTAGCTTAAGAAACTTTCAATTTGATAATGGTCAGGTTGGTTTGGAAATCACTTGTATGAGGCATCAAGTGTGTATTTTGGGTGATAATTTTTATTTAAGAAATTAAAAAGCTCAAAAGCACCAAGAAGATGTAATTGGAAGTTTGGTGTCAGAGTTCAGCTTGATGAGTAATGAAAGATATAACACCTGGAGCAATAAGTTTCAGTATAGACTTGAAGACATCCAGTGTAATGCTCTCAAATGTGGCACTCTGGGCAGTATCTGCAAAGGTGCACATGTAGTCTAAACTCTGAGCTTGGAGCTCTAACAGTAATTACTAATGTTTATCTATACTTGGATCTAGTCTACAGGTATTCATTGAGGCAGTTTTATATACAATAACCTGTAATTCATACTACAACCCTGCCTGGTATGTAATTATCATGGTTAATTTACAGATGTGGAAACTGGGCTCAGAGATACAGTGGTTTTTCAGAGTTCATGTAGCAGTAAGAGACAGAGCCAGGTTTATGCTCAGTTTCTCTGTACCCAGTGTTTGCTTGGTTTCCTCTGTTCTCTGTTTTCTTCATTTGAGATAAAGATTTAGAACAAAGAGAAAGAGGACTGCAGGTCAGAAGATAGGAGTATACAAGTACTTCTATAAACTACATGGTTAGTTTTGTCAGCATAACCTCGGTCATAGAAATGGCCTCTGAAGACAAACAAGAAATGGGGTAGAAATTCTCAGCTCAAAGGTGGATAAAAAGATGGAAAGTTTGAAAATAACCAAATTGCTCCTTTCCATGTGTGAGGAAAGTAATTATTCCCAGTGGATAAAAACTGTAGTCTTACCACCTCCTCTTTTCCAAGCATGCCTGTCCTCCCAATAGTGTAGTTGTAAACAGTCTCCTTACCCTGTCAGGCAAGAAACCAATTTATTTCTTACCTGAATACCAAGCTTTGAACTCTTATCCTTGATTCTTCTTCTCCTTGACTTGATCTCACTTTTCTCCTCTCTTCTTAAAGTTCTTCTTTCAATTTTGTGAAGCCTTTAGTTCCCACTTTCTCTGGGGGTGTTTATGGTCATAAAACAGTGGTAGGATGGTATGCTTATGATTTGAGTACCTTTTGGTCTTCATGGTCAACCTTCTGGTACTAATTGTATTTGAAATGAAAGTTATCCACATTTGAGGTACTATATTTGAAAGGTAAATATGTTGACAATTTGTAAACCATAAAGAAGGAAAGAACAAGTCATATTTTTTGTTTATTTAAGGGTTTTAAAACAAATAGTATTTTCTCATCTCTAATGTTGATGTCTAAATATACTATCCAATCAAGTGGATATACTTTTTCCAGTAAGAAGGAAAGCAGAAGCCGATAACTGAGATAAGGTCATAGTACTCTTCACTTGTAATATTCCTAGTATCCTATGTGCTATTATGAGTCCTGTTGTGGTTTGGGGTTTGTTGAAAGGGGAAACAGTATAATACCGGACACATACTTTATAAAATTATTTATAGTAGTCACCTAAAGAATTATATACAAGAGAGTGCAGGAAATCTGTACACTAAAGACCAGAGAGAATACAGCGGAGGGCCTGGATCCCATGGAAATGTCCTGCATAGTTCCAGCTGAAGACCTAGAGCCCATAACAATGCCTCCCATGAATCCAACTGGAGGCCTAGAACCCACAACAATGTCTCATGCCAGGCCTGTTTCACAGATCTACGCTGGAAGGCCCAAAGGTCAGTGGTAGAAGCTAGAAAGTCTGTGACAGTGAGATGAAGGATCTGTGCTAGCAGGCTTAGGGATCGACACTGGAGACAGATAGTTATGCACAAAGTCAGAACTAGAGCCCCCCCGCCGGCCCCCGAGGGTACCACAGCCATCCTCAGCAACAGTGAGGTCCTGAGCTCCAATGAAGAAGACAGCTGAGCTCCCATCAGAAAACGCAACACAGCAAGCTTCTCCAGGAAACTTGCAGTGCACCATCTTCCCCTCCAGAGCCAGGAAGTGATGTTCAAAGTGAGGACTAGAGATCCCCAAAGTGAATCAAAGCTGTGTTCAATGCCAACAAGGTCCCGAGCTCCTTGGAGGATGAAAACAGCCAAGTTCATTGGGAAAGCCAGCATGACAAGCTCCTCCAGAAGCACCAACAGGTCCTTAAAGCTTCTATCAGTTCCCAAAAGGCTTTCTTCTTCTTCTCCAGTTGTGCCTCCTATGCATCTGGCAACAATCTCAGGTGGGCCTCCGACACTCAGCACCACTCTTAACTCAGTTGAGCTGGGTGTTATAGGTTGACCATCAGTTGTCAGTCCACCACAAGCCCTAAACCAGTAACTGTGTGGAAAATGAGGGATTGGGATTAGAAAATTTTTCAGTCTCCTTTTTAAGTTGCATGATTCTTTAATTTGTGGATAACAGAGAAACATGTTGTAGAGGTCTGTAAAGGAGAAACATAGTAGTCTGAATATAATTTTGTTTTATCATCTAGCAGCCTATAACTTTCACCTCTGCGAAGACAGTTAAAGAGAGGAGTCAGATGCATTTGTAGAGGTATGGTTATTTATACATCCACTTAGACAAATGCTCTATGCTTTGGGATCATTGGTAAAAAGTAGGATGCAGGTGTTTAATGGCCACAGTAGATGTAGAAAAGCTTGCTGTAAGAGTAGTTGAAGATTGCTTCCCTCTCACGGTAGATGCCTTTACATTTTGTCACTTTTTTTCCGCCTTTGCTTTTTAGCAGATAAAGTCAGTAATCTGTCTCAGATGGCAGAGGACCTTGAGATGAGAGTGAGCCATGACGAGCATTTCTAAATTAATGGATTGTCCTTTAGTGCCACTTATTGAGGGAGTTATGATCTGAAGAACTATAGATACAAGCAAGCCGTAGGAGGTGTGAACTTCGTCTTTATTTCCGACTTGAGGAAAATAAATTGTTTGCATCTTATTAGGAATTGGTACTTCCTGAGTAAGCAACTTAATACACAGTTTTCCTATAATTATGGGATGATGTTTCTCCTCAGTAGAGAGGAAATAACAACTTCTTCCCTGAGAATCCATTGAAAGCAACTGGTCTTTTACTCTGAGAGTACAATGATAAACTTTTAAGAGAAAAAGGTGTAGTTTTGAAATTAAGCTGCATTTTCTTCTCTTGTCTGGTTATGAAACCTGGACTCTTATGTGTTTCCGTTCTGTCAAAAGAAAGCTTTTAAATTGGAGTTTAACTTATTTCTTGGATTATGTTTTTAAGCATAAATATATACTGAGTGTATCAGTAGCTTTCCTGTCACTGGGACAAAATACTGGACACACATAGCTTAGGGAGGAAAATTTGATTTGGGTTCATGTTTTCAGAGTTTGGTCCATGGTAGAACAGCTCCAAGGCAGAAATGGCATGGCAGAAGACTTGACAGAGAAAAGCTGCCCAATCCATAGGAACCAGAAATGAGAGGGATCCAGGAACAAGAATACTTTCTTGTCCTTTCAGGTCCTTCCATGAACTACCTCTTCTGACTAGGGCCTGCCTCCTAACAGGATATTTAGCTATAAATGTATCAGTGGATGAGTATAGTGTCCTCGTGATTGAATCACTTCCTAAAAGCCCCATCTCTCAACATGTGAGGCTTTGGGGGATATTTTAGATCTAAATCATAACACTGATTAGAAGATACTAAGCTGACAATTATTCCTGCACATTACTGCTTTTTTGGGGGGAGCGGTGTGGAGACAGGGTCTCCCTATTTAGTTCAGGCTGGCCTTGAATTTGCTATGTAATCCAGGCTGGTCTCGAATTTGAGGTGATCTTCCTGCCTCAGCCTCCTGAGTTCTGGAATTATAGGTATGTTCCACCATGCCTGGCAGTTGCATTTTTTGATATGCCAAATTTGAACACTCCTTAATTCCCGAAGGATTTACAAAAAAAAAGGAAGATAAGAGCAAGTTACCTCTTGCACAAAATAATGCATGCCTTTCTGACCTCTCTAGCCTTATCCTT